GCAAAATAATTAAAATATTTTTCTTTTTCATAGAAAATTAATGGAAGAACTTATATCTACTTGGAAAAATGATCATAGTGAAACAGCTAAATCATCAAAACAATCAATAAGTGATTCAGGTCGTTTAGTTGCATCTATTGCTTCACTTACTGCTATTCGATCTGGAAAATGTGCTTTATTATCACTTTTGTAAGTCCATTTTTCTTTTTTTTTTTTGCAATTTTCATGTTTTGTTTTTTGGTTTTAAATAGAAATTTTTCTGATGAAAAATATACAAAGATTATTAAAGATATGCTTGAATATCTTCATATACGTGCTGAATCAAATGAAACATGTCTTTGTCAAGAAGCTACAATGGTTTGTTTAATATTGAGCGTTTTAAAAGTCCGTTGGAATAAAAAAAAAAAAGAAATGAATAGGACGGCCTTTTGGAACATTCTCTAGATTAAATAAAAAGAACACATCGATTTTTATTTTTTATATTCTTCTTTTAGTCAATTGTTCAAACTTTATGTGATGCGAATTTATGTCTTTCATCATCAAAATCTTCAGATAATCGATTACAAATACTTGCTAATGCATTACCAAATCAAGAACTTTTATCATTTATACTAATAAATATTCTTCGTTTACTTTCATCAACTAAACAACAACAAACATGGACACAAACAACAATGGCACTTCGAACAATGATATCACTTGCTGAACATGATTTTGGTTTACAAATGATTCGAATGTAAAAACAAAAATAATATTTTTTTTTTTTATTTTCGAGTTTTTATTATTTTTTCTTTTCTTTCATCTAGAGCTTTAATGCAAAATAAAGAAGTACTTTGTACATTAATTGCTGAATTTGATCTTCGATTTGATAAAGAACAACCAGATTATCTTGAAGCTGTATCAGCTTTAATGATATTTTTACAAAGAATTATGACGATTGAAAATATATCAGATTCAGTGTAAGTAGAAAAAAAAGAAATTTCAAATCTCGAATAAATTTTTTTTTTTTTCTGTAGTTTTATTCGAACTCAACGTTTACCATTATCTTTCTTTCGTGGATTACTTGGTGTTTCATCGAATAATGAAAGTCAATTAGAAAAATTTGTTGATTTAATTAATGCTGTTGTTAATGATGTAAGTTAATACTGCTTTCAAATGTATTTTTTATTTTTGTCTATATGATTATCATTTTAGGATTCATCTGGTACACATGAAAATGAAAATAAACAACAAACAAATGGTGGTAATTCAGATAATTTAGAACAAAATGAAGAAGATCAACAATGTGTTCAAACATTACAAAAAATTTTTGAACGTGCTAATAGTATTATTCAAACACTTAAAACAAATCAAAATGAACAAGGTTTGTATTTATATGAAAGATTAAATGTAAAAAAAGAAATGCTTTTTCTTTCGATGATTTCACATTACTTGAAATTGAAACTATTTTTCCTATTCAATGGATATTTTTAACTACTTATTATTGACATAATATCATTGTAAATACTTATATGACAAAATTTTTCATTGTATAACAATGAAATTTAATCTTCATATAAAAATCAATCGAACAATATTAATAATACTTCTTTTGGTAGTAGATTTAATAGCTATTCGATTGTAAAATAGTATTTACAATACGATTAAAGATGTGCAGTTTCGGTGACAATACCGAAATGCTGATGTACTGACTACAGTGGATCGGTGTTCCCTGAACCATTAGTACACGTATACAATATGAATACACTAAGTAAATCAGTGAATACCGATTCAGTGTGAGTTGTCGGTGAACAGTTTAGGTACATCTTTTATGCAAAAAATATGAAATATTGAAAATTTCCGATCATAATACTATTTCGTTATTGAATTTTTATAAAAGATCGAAATCAATTAAATATGATTTCGTTTCAGAGTGAATTTCATATTCAATAAATTTATTCTTTATCTCTCCTTACGGTGAAATGTGTTCAAAATAAAAATGGTACTATTTAGTAGCGTTTTTTAATTCTATATATTTCAAAAGAAATTGTTTCAAAAACTAAATCTTATAAATGTAGAAATTACATTTCATCAGGGAATAAGTGTTTTTTTTTTATTAGCCACTCTATACACTCTAATAAAATTAACAACTCGAGTTCTTCCCATTGGCTTTCTTAGAAATTGAATCAAGACTGTCTGTTTTTTATTTTTACATTGTACAATCAAATATCAGTTCTGAATAGTTTTTTAAAACCATCGGATTTTATACTTATAGATTATTCTTATTTCATATTTTAACTTAATAGAAATTACACTAAATACTTAGTTAAAAAATCTTTTTGTTTTTTTGTATTATTAAATAGAAACTTTCCCAACGAATGAAATAAATCTGCCAAAATCTGAATCAATTGATATTCAATTTCAAAATCGTCTTATATATACAATTGTTAATGATTATGCTGATGATCAACGAAGTTCTGAACTTTATTGGCTTGGAATTCCGACACCATCATTACTTGATGATGTTGATTATGGACAAGATGATACAACAACAAATCCAGATGAAACAAATGAAAAGGTATCAAACATAAATATATTAAATTAAATTTTTTTTTCTTAATTTTCTATTTTTTATAGGTTAAATGTGATCTTGAAGATTTTGTTGGTAAATATTGTGGAACATTTAATTTCTTTGATGAATATAAAAAAGAAGTTATTGATAAAATAACAAAAAAAAGAAAGTAAAAATTTATTTAATATAAAATCTTATAATTTAACATGGATTTTTCTTTTTTATTTTCTAAAGATCTTCACCAAAAAAACGAACAGTTACAGTTGAACCAACACCCAATGTAGATACATCTATAATAACAACAAGTGTATCAAAAAGTCGTACACCATGGAGTGCACCAATGCGCGGAAATAATCGTCGAAATGTTCGAATTAGTGGTGTTAATACAAATACACCAACAAATGGTATTCAACGACGTATAGATCATTTTCGTAATCGTCCATTAAATACAAGTCGACCACCATCAATGCATGTTGATGAATTTGAAAAACAATATAATGATAATGGAAATGGAAATAATACAGCAAATTCATCATCAACTAATAATAATAATATTAATGATAATAATAATGGAGGAAATAATGGAAATGAAAATGATTTACTTTCAACAATTCCATCGTCAAATGATGGTGGATCTGATCGAGTAAAGAATCAAAAATTATTTTCAGTGTATTCTAAATTGAATTTCTACCCTTTGTTTTGTGTTGGAACCATGATATACATTACCATGGGAACGTCACGGATTGTGATAGATGTTGTTGATATACGATCACAGATCGTATATGAATAGTATCTCATTATAATATATGAATGACTTCCTCATCGGATTTCTGGAGGATTAAGTAAAAAGAGATGTGTTTTAAAATAGATAGAATAAAACAATTTTCCTATGATTAACAACAGAGGTTACATCGTATTTCATATTTTAATCTCGCAGATATTGTGCTAATCGCTTTGTTTTGCTTAAGTCTATCGTAATGTAATTTTTTTGTTGATAATTTATATATGGAGAGGAAGTACAAATTGCATTGCATCGATTGATATATTTATTATGAAAAAAAAAACAGGTAAAGTTCAAAAAAAGGAAATGATCTAATTTTTGGCTACTACAATGTAAAATTAGATTAAATCGAATTATTGTCTCTTCTTTACTTTTGTACGTATGGACATATATAACTTCAATTATACTTTTTTTTTTAAGTATTAAAAAATTCATTTCTCTTAATCTCTGTATTGATTCACTCTGATTTTACATTGTAATAACCAAAAAGTAGATCATCCTTTCTTTCTGATTTATTTTTTGTTCTCTGAACTTTATGTGTTATTCATAATAAATATATCAATCGATGCAGTGCAATCTATACTTTCTCACTATATATCGATTGTCTGAAAAAAAAATTAGATTTCAGTAGACTTAAACAAAAGTGAAAGAAATTCAATTGAGACACACTGTATTTCATAAAAATTAAAAGTTTTGATGGAATGATATGATTTCTTTCGTTTAGGATCGTTGGTCTCGTCGAGGTAGTACACCAAATTTTCGGCCTAGTTCATCATCTAGTCATCGTTATCCATTTTCATTAAATAATCTTGGTTATCCAGGTAAAAAAATTCTTTCTCAATTATTATTAGTATTATTTAATTATTTCTTCGTTGGTTTTTTTTTTCTTTTGTTCAGGTGGAGGTTTTAGTCTTCGTGATCGTTTACCATATGGTTATCCATCATCACGTTACAAGTAAGTATTTTGTTTTATTTTATTTTTAGTTTTGAAGAATTTTATTTAAATATTGAATTAGTACATTTGAAACGGATTTTCCTCCACCATATTTTGCTGGTGATGAATTTTCTGACGATCGTCCTTATGATTATTATCCAATGAGTATGCCTTTTGAACCTTTTCGGTAAGAGAATCAGTTTTATTAAATAAATAAAAGAATTGTTCTTTTTTGTTTCTAGACATCGAAATCATTTCGGACGTTATGATCCAAGTGGATTTCATTAATTTATGAACAATTCTTCTCTATCTATTCATTTTGTTTTCTTTTTCGATGTATAGAATTATTTATCAACGAATAAATGTGTAGCTACTATGTAGCTATATATTACTCAATTATGTTGGTTTCGAGAAAATAAATTTTTGTTGTTCGTTTGCAATTGATTTTTCTTCTCCGTTTTGTTTTTCTGTCGTATGCTACTTGATCTTTTATATAAAAAGAAAAGAATATTCAACTAATTGAATATATATATTATCAAATTTCTATGTTGGTTTTTGAGTGCTTATTTTAAATCCTTTAATATTTTAATGAAATATGGATTTTGAGAGCATCTCAATTTACAAAAATTCGATAAATAACAAGAATGATTGGTATAAAACCGTTTGAAATTGTTATTTCTTTTTTTACACTTTCTTTCTTCAAAAAACATCGAATTAAAAAGAAAAACACATCAATGCAATTTATTGTAATCGTTGTTCTTGCTACTATTGCTTGTATACAAGCTGCACCAACTTCACCAGTCATTGATAAATCATGGGGTGAACCACGAGGGTAAAATTCATTTAGTTCTTGGTTTTTTTTTTCTCAATCGTTTTATAATGATTATGATTAGATCACCAGTAACAGAAGGTATCAAATGTATATTTCGTGTTGGTCCATTCGATTGTGCTAAAGCTAAAGCTGATGCAGATAATGCTGGTGTTGAAGCTCAAAATAGTTATCCAGCAAATACATTACATAATGGTATTGGTGATGCTTTTCGTCATTGTTATTGGAATGCTTTAATGACAATTAGTATTGGTCGTGATCAAGCAAAGACAGTTGCTGATCTTCATGAAGATCATAATACAGAAGGACCACAAAATGAACGTATTATGGATTTAAACAATAATGAAATTGGTCGACAAGTTGGTAGTGAATCAAAAACAGCTGATGAAGCACGTGCGAAATGTGATGATCATGTTAAAACGGGTTATTTACAATTAAAACCATAGATAAATAAATAAATAAATAAAAAAAGCTTTTTACAAATAAAAGTCAAGTGATCATCAAGAATTATTATTTTTGTTGCCATTGAAAGCTAACAACGAAAGATATAATTTTTTTTTGATTTTGAATATATAGATAGAAACAAAAAAAATCATGAAAACCCAATATCAATCATTAGCGCTTAGTTTGTTGATTTATTTTCATCAAAGTTAATGTATTAATATAAACTTATATGTTCTCTTGAAATTGAAGTAGACTAATGATTGGATAGATTTTTCTTTGGTGAGATTTCGATCAATTCGTCTGAACTTTAGCAGTATTTCATATTTTTTTTCAAATACAAATGTGAAATATTCCAAAGAAGAAAAATAAAAATAATAACCAAAAAAAAAAACAGAAAAGAAAATATATGTCGTATACAATAAACTCTAAATGTGAGCAAACATATTATTTAGCATTGGAGCGTCTACGTTCAAGCAATCGACGACCAATAATAGTTGGTGGTAATGTAAAATCTTGATTAAATTCAATATTTACTCGTCGAATTTCTTCTCTTACTAATGAAGGTGATGATAATAATGATTGTCCTCGTTCTTCATTATTCGCTGATAATTGTCGATTTCCTAAACTATAAGCATTTATTTCAAGCGATGATGGAAATTCATTCGTTGTTGGTGCTATTAATGGACGAAGTGGTGCACGCATATGAAGACGTCGAAATCGTCGATTTAGATCAGTTGTTGTTGGTATATTAAGTGGTCGTATTTGATAAGGAGTTACAGATAAACCCATATCAACTGACAGTAAAGATGAACCAGAAGAAGGTGTATGTTTTGTTGAATGTCGAATAGCAGCAGGAGCAGAACTATAGTGGCGGACAAAAGTTTAGAGCAGTTGTACATTTAACTTTTCTGATCGATGGTAATAACTAACAAGAATCTCAAAAAGCATTTGTGCAGCTGAATGAGTTCTCTAGCAGGATTAATTGATCCGAAAGCTTCAGCAAAATTGCTTGAATGAAGGTATGTGGAAAACCAAGACTCTCAAACCAGCTTTCTGATTTTCTTTCGAAGCTTTTGGGAAAAGATTTTATTTGATAGAGCAATTGTAAATTGAATGTAGTTCAGTGAAAGAAGATTCTTGCTAGCTATTACCGTCGAGAAACAAACTTAAACATACAACTACTCTAAAGTTTTATCTGCCACTATATATTTAATAAATTTAATTTAACATTCAATGAAAAGAAAAACTTTTGTTTTTGTTTTTTTTTTTAAATTTTACCGTTTTGCTTCTCTTTGTTCATTTTCCATTTCAACACTCCATACAAGTTGACCATCAATTGGACATGTTGGATGACTATGTAAAAGCCATCCATCTATGTAGCAAAAAAAGTAACAATAAAATCGAAATAACTTTTGTTTAAGTTTTTTAAATTACCAATGCAATCAATATGAAATTTATGTCGACATGGTAAACGTCGAACACGTTCACCTATTTGATAAGATCTTAAACATAAACGACATTGTTCACCATGTTGTAATAAACGACTTCGTTCATGTACACGTTCAGTTGGCATTGATTTAACAACATTTTCTGGTATACCCATAATTGCTGCATTTTGAGCACTTGATTACAAAGAAAAAATAAATAAATAAATAAACAGAAAAAAAAAGCAAATATTTCAATGTATCAATTACTTATCAAGTTGAAGAAGAATATCATAATCATTTTCCGTAATATCTCTATTTGCTAACATTTGATGAAGTGCACTAGGTAATGCATTTAAATGTTCTCGTGTTGCTGATTTCCAACGTTGAAATGATTTCTAAATAAAATAAAATTTATTTATTAAATTAAGAAAACAAAAACAAAAATATCTATTGTTTTTGTTTTTTTACTTCTCGATAATCAAAATTATGTTCATTATGTATATTTAAATTAAAACATGTTTGACAAAGAAAATAATCATGACATGTTGTACATTTATAACATTTGCCTGTAATTGGACATGCACGACAACGATGACATGAATAACCTAAATGAATAGATGATTTTTCAGCTTGTTGAGCACCACTTGTACTTAAAATAGAAAATATTAAATTTCTTTTTTAACAATAAAAATAGAATTGAAATTCTTATACCGAAATTCCTGTTTAAGTTGTTCAGGTGTACCAAATGTTTCTCGACATAATGGACATTTAACTATTTTTTCACCTGTTGATACTTGATGATCAAGCCATACTTTCATACATTTAACATGAACATTATTACCACAACCATGTCTGAAAAAAGAAAAAGAATCAAATATTGAATTAATTTCTAATTTTAAATTTTTATCAAACCGGCAATAAGTAATTGGCACTTTCTTAATTAAAAATTCTTCTTGACATATAGGACATACATCATTTTCATTGATTGGCCGTTGTTCAACTTCACTATCATCATCATCTTCATCATCATTCTAAAATGTAAAAATTATACAATTTTGTTTATCGTCTTTAGAAAATGTTTTCATTTACAACAAGAAAATAGTTTTGATTCATCAATTATGCAAATATTAGATGCAAATGATCTACAAATAATCTCAAGTGTATTCTACACTATACTTCTTTTCTTTCGTTGTTAAATGAAAAAACTCACACCCAGTATATACGAATTTTCTTCCTTTTTTTTTTTACTTTTGGTTTTTGAGTATGATTTGTTTTGTTTCGTTCATCTTCTCGTGCTAAACCACGTAGAAGTTCATTTATTTCTCGTTCGACAAGACCTTTTTGCCAAAGCACTAGATATATTTATATATATATGTAAATATAAAAGTATCTTGTCTATATTATTATTTACTTGGATTAGTTCTTGGCACACGAAATCGTTTTAATAGAAGCCAACAAATATGTTTGCATAAGTCTCGATCTCGTTGAAATACATTACAAGTACATTGATGTTGATCACCCAAAAATGCCTAATTAATATGACATATTTATGTAATCAAAATTCTATTTATTATAAATACTTTAAATATTCGTTCATCATCTTCTTTAATAACAAAAGCTGTAGGACCTGTTTGTCTTAGAATAAAAAATGTTGAATTAAGTGCATCATCTTGAGCTTGTAGACATTTTTCAGGACATTCAAGACGATAAGGCAAACTACGAGACATTATCTATATATTATTGATGAAATGTGAAAGAAATTGATTTCAAATTTCAACTATTTTAAAATCACCATTTTTCTATTACATTTCTTTTTGTTGTTTGGCAAAACCTCTGCTTCACTCGGTAATGTACATTGATGATGGTTTCTAACGGTTCATCAAACTACCCAATCCAAATATGAAGATGAATCATAGAAAAAATTTTTCAAGCATGGACAGATTGTTTCATTACCTTGTTCTTTGAAATAATAATCAAAAAATAAATACAAAGGTTATTGATGATGATTTGCAAAATTAATGATTTATGTCCAATTTTACAAAATTATGATACGTTTTTGATCAGAATTTATTCATATCTGTTAGAGAGCGTCCAAATAAAGTGTATTATCCCCAATTCTGTATATGCATACTCGTTGGTTTTCACGTGTTTCCTTTTTCTTTCCAATGAATTACTTATTTCAGTATGTTGATCCTATTTGGATCGTTTCTTTTCTTCGTTCGTGAAAATCATTGAGATTCTTACATTCTTTATTGTTCGCCTTTTTTTCTATGTATTACGACAGCTGGAAACAGATGTATGATATTATTGTTTTTTGTATAATGTTAAGCAATTTTCAAATATAATAGTATACTTATTCAACCTTGTTCTATTCTACGTCTTGTTTACTCTTTCTCTTTGTGCTTTTCATTTTCATTTTTGTTTTCGTTCGCGTGAATGTATAGGTTTGTATGCTGTATATAAGGATGTTTTTTTTTTGTTGCAAAATAACTTAGATAGATTTATTCGAAAATAAATTTCCACTAATCCAGCTATATCGCTACAGAAACGGATTGATATGATAGAATCTTTCCTGCCTTCATCAAACTAATTTATCTAAATTATGAATACAGTGAACAGATGAGAAAGTTCAAACTTATATGTCATTTGCAACAATCATTGATTTCTCTATAGTAAAAATAAAGCTGGATAGTAATCCATGTTTTTTTCTTTTATCATGCTATAGTCAGTCCTTATATTTTTCTTTTTATATATTATGTGCTAATTTAATGAACCTCTCTCTATCCTCTTCCTAGTTGTCGACATTCGTCTTGCTTTTAGAAAATGTAAATCAATCAACTAGTTTTTTGTTCTTTTTTTTTGTTCCTCGTTTTCTATAGTTATTATGTGGTATTCTCTTTTTCTTATGATGAGCAATTGAGAAAAAAAAGCAAGAAAAAAAAAAGAACTTGTCTTCCGTTTTCAGGACACATCAGTGTTCAATTTAGTTCATTCAAAGGTTGTGTAAATCTTTCCTAAAATGCCGTTTCTAATCATTCGAATAACTAAAGACATTGTGCTTCATCGATGAACAAAGATCATAAACAAATGCATCCAGCTCACACGCGTGCATACATGTCGTTTTTTTTCTGCTCTTTTTCCTCGAAATGCTTTTTATTTTTTCCATTGCGTATTTCTCTCTCTAAACTGTTACTCTCGTCTTTTTGAAAACAAATGGAATAGAGAAAGAGCGTCTCGGAGAAAAGCGATTCTCATCGTCAGTCCTATGAATGTGTTCTCATCATCGTCATTATGTTATTATTTTTTCTTATTCAAGCATTTTTTTCTCTTTCATCTCTTTTTTTTGCGTTCTTTTTCTTTCACTAGGCTTGTTATCGTCATCGATCTCCGCTCTCTCTCTCTCTCTCTCTCTCTCTCTCTCTCTGTGTCTATCATTCTTCTTTGTGTTCTCCATACAACTCGCGCATACGTCAGTTATAGAGAATAGTGACGTTGTCGTTTTTGTTGTCCTTCATCTGACAGCTTTTTTTTTTCTCGTTTACTTGTTCACTAATATTTACGTCAAAAAAAAACATGTTAGAGCTGACAATATTGAGGTAAATTCTATCATAACATTGTTTGATTCATAACATAGTAGTTTGTATCGTCCACTTTTGACATTCTCAATGCATAATTTTAGTATTTTAGAGCGCAATTTCATTTCAGTTCGCATGAATAGAAATGAGAAAAAAGAAATAGTATAAGAGGTTTCTTAGTTGTCAATTGATTCAAGTAGAACTATCAAACTAGTTAATATAAGGAAATTAAAACAAACTTTTTTTTTCATCAAAAAAACTCACTTAAGTGGTATTATTTTTGTTTATAGACGAACAGTATAAATGGCATCTTCTTCTTTCTCTTCCTCTTCCTCGGCAGCACCAAAATTAATCATTCCTGATGACAAGCCAGCTAGTGATGCAAGTGGTTCTCGTCCTTCTCCGACTTCTTCAGTACCCCCGGCTACTGATATTTCTTCTTCAAGTGGAACAGCAACAAAAAAATTAACGAAAATTCTTTCCACTCAATCAAGTTTCGAACGTCATCATCCTGTACATCCAATTGCCAAACGTTTTTCGATTGATGCTGATCCTTCGTCAATCATATTAAATACACCCGTTACTGATTGTTCCAATAATCATGTAGCACAACAACAACAACAACCAACACCGGATGCTGAAGAAATTTCGTCAACTCATACTTCTTCTCCAAATATTTATGGTAAAGAAACATCACCTGCTCGATCACCATCATTAAAAAAGAGTGATAGTTTTTTGGAAATACCCTATGAAAAAGGTGAAATAGTCGATTTAATTAAATTGGTTGATGATCCAAATGCAGCGACACATATTACAAACGATGGACACGAAGTATTACTCGAACATGGAGCTGTTCCCCAGTGAGCCGTGCAAATATTACTTTCTTTTTTTCCCATATTGCATGTTGTATTCGTTCATTCTCGCTCTTTATATGTGTGCGTGTGCGTGAAAAAGAATAAAGAATGTAGTGGTCTCATTACGATATGCGTCACACAATTAGTGTTCAATTACTTCTCGTTCATCGTTTCGATTAGTTATACGTATATATATATATATACATATACACAAAAAAAACCAAATCATAGAAACATTTTCGAACTTTCGAAATAGAGATTTCTATATATGTTTGATGTTATATCTGATGAGAAAGGGATATTTTATTGAAAAACAATAAAAATTGATTATTCATGTAGAAGAAAGAAAGAAATAGAATGAGAATGACATTCTGCTTCTGTCTGACTTTTATTCGTTTTGTTGATGGTATCAAATAAAAAAAAACAAAGATATGTCATGACAAGTCTCGAATGCTTTCATTTCCGGTAGTGTTTTACTAGAAATCTATTCTGCATTGTGTTTTTTTATTGATCATGACATATTCGGTCATTTTGATTATACTGTTAATTGAACAAAATATTAGTAGATCTTGTACGGCACAGTTAATCTATAATTTTATTAATATTTTCCTCATTAGACTTTTTTCCTATGGTTGATTAGTAAATAAGCCCAAATATTGGAACACTCTATTATAATCATGTTCATAGTTACGATCAAGTAAAAGAAAAGAAAAAGACAAAACTGAATTTTGAATATTTAAGAAATATTCTAAGTTCTTCGGTTGAAAAAAAAAGATTATCAAACTAAAAACAAAAGCAGAAAAATAAAAAAAACTTCTACTATTGTAAACGATAATTAATTACATTTTACGTTTTTTTTTTTTTACAAAAATTAACAAAAAAAAGACAGTTTGGCTATACCATTGTTTTGATGACATCGTAGAGAATTAAATATTTTTTATGAATCATCATATAAAAGATTTTTTTTGACAAGGGAATAGAATGATATTTTTTTTTGTTGTTTGGGAATAAGATCTATTTAATTATTTTTTTATCTTTTATTGAAGACATTGAGAAGCTTTTCTGCAAATTCTTTTAGACAGTAATTTCTATTTTTCTCTCATTAAATTGCAATAATATTAATAATTTTTTATTCATGATTTCGATTAATTGAAATTTTTGCCATTTCTATAAATCGCCTTAGCCATCTTAGATTAATTCTAGTATTATTATTTGCAGCATTTTTATTCTATTTTTATATACGCTTCGTACTAGGTGATAGAAAATCTATTATTGCTATTTTATATGTGAAGATAAATTTCAAGTATTATTTCACAGGACGTGCTTTTTTTTATTTAACAATTATAAAAAATTAATTACTTTCTTTTTTGATTAAAGATTTTTTTTTTTGATAGTAACTTCACATTTCATTATGAAGTTGTACTTAGCGTGTGTGAACTCATTTGTCAAAGAAAAACACAAGTGTTGTAATAATTTTATTTTAATATCTTTTTGATATTGTAATTTTATTGCATAATATAACCAAACGTACTGTTGAATGCACTAATTTGAATTATAGTACTTCATACAAAATGATTGTGCAATAGTAGCGTACTTTTTTGTTTTTATAGTAATAACCACAAAAAGCTGTAGTAATGAATTGAATTTTAAAGAATAAAGAAAAGATAGTTTTTTTAAACTAAGAGAACAAAATTTGCGTTTTTGAAACTGTATAAACACAGTTAAAAGAACGTTTAATAATAATATTTTTATAAGCAAAATGTAATTGAATCTATTTTTGATTGGTATCTTAATCAAATTTGATCCGTAAGAAATTTAGTCAAAGAAATAAATATTTTTTTTCATCTATCCAATATCTTGATAAAGTATGGAAATGAGTTAAGTTTTCTATTTTATTAGATATATACAGGATGTTCCAAAAGTTCGGTCGAAAAGTAAATTTGTATAACTCCACTATTTATCAAATTTAATCAACTAACTTTTTTCAAATGATAGATATAAGTGTGAAGTTTTTATTGGTACGGACAAACTTCACAAACACTGTTCAAAATTATTACTTTCGCCTGAAATATGAAAACCAGTCGATTTTCAATTTCAAAAAACACATTACATAGTGTTTCTGTTTTGATACTTCCATATTTTGCGTTTTTTTTGTGATGTTTATATCGTGCAGATGGTGCACTATCGATTCTATGCATTTGTTGTGATGTGTCACTAAAAATAGAAGCCTAATAATGGCAAGTCCGGTGATCAAAGAGCTCGTGTGACAACTTTATGTTTCCAAACGATGATTGATGAACTGGAAAAGACGAATCGATCTTATAAGCTTCGTCGTCATCGAACTTGACATTGTTAGGCTTCTATTTTAAGTGACACATCACAACAAATGCATAGAACAGATAGAGCAACATCTGCACGATATAAACGTCACAAAAAACGCAAAATATGGAAGTATCAAAACAGAAACACTATGTAGTGTGTTTTTTGAAATTGAAAATCGACTGGTTTTCATATCTCAGGCGAAAGTAATAATTTTGAACAGTGTTTGTGAAGTTTGCTCCTACTAATAAAAACTTCACACTTATATCTATCATTTGAAAAAAGTTAGTTGATTAAATTTGATAAATAGTGGAGTTATACGAATTTACTTTTCGAATACCCTGTATTTCTCTTTTATTTAACTAAACATTCAAGATTTGATTGAATGTTCGTTTATTTTTCTCTTCAAAATAAAAAGTAAATTCTTACTAATTAAATCTGTTTGAATTGAATATTTTCAATATTATTCATATATTTTTATTGTTAAAATTAAAGAAACAAACATACTGCTTAGTACGTCGTTAGAAAATCGCTCAAGGATGGAAAGCGTCAAAAAAAGTTTTACTTAATTCTAACTGTAATAAATATTGATTGTTATTAATCAATCATCCAATCCACTGTACCGATTGTCCAGCTGTTAGATGAATACTACGTGGATATTTCACATTATTAATAGCAAGTACATTCAAAGATAAATTTCCAATTGATAATGTAAATGTATACGATGATTGTCCATTTAATAATGGAGTTGCACTTATTGAACCAAAAATATTCGGAATAAGTACAGGCAAAATAAATGGTGATCGTAATTTGGGTGAAAATAATAATATACCCTTTGTTAAATCTGTATATTGACCTGTAATTGCAAATGGTAAATGCCATAAGACCATATGAAAACCATAATGTGATGTAACCCATGGTTTTCCTCCGATACCATAACCATCACCTGCATATAAACCATGTGTATTCCATTGATCATTTAATGTTTGTCGTACATGATTTAAACCTTTTACAGATTGTATTAATGCACTATCAAAATCCATATTAAACCATAAATTTAATACAGACCAATCTTGTGATGCACCCATCCATATAGAATTATCTTGTGGATTTGTTAATGGTTCTCGTCCAGTTAACATTCTTAAACCATATGGTGTATCTGCTAATCGTACTTCACTTTCTAAATGTTTTTTCATTTTTGATATACTATATAAAGGACCTAATCCATATGTAAATGCTAATACTTGACCATACAATGCATCTGTAAATATTGCTTTTTCACCTTGTCCACCTGTATAAGCTAAGAAATAACCTGTATCTATACTATCATTATACCATAATAATTGATTAATTTGTGTAACAGCAATAAAGTACGATTTATAACATTCATTATATGTAATTGTATCATTCATAATCAATGTTAATTCCATACATGCACGTAATGCAGCTAAATGCATGAATGAATTAAATGTTGTTGTTGGATATTGACTCATATATGGTATATCATATGTACATTCTAAATGTTCTGGTAAACCTAATTGAGATGATACACTTAATTGCCATTTTATACCTGCTACAACATGTGGATACATATCTTTTAAAAAAGTAAAATCATTTGTCCAACGATATAATTCTAATGTTTCTAATATGAATATTGTTGTTACATCTCCCATATTTCTTCCACCATGTTGATCATATGGTGCTGTATCACCCATACAACCAACTGTAAATGTTTCTTGTATCATTCCATCATTTTGTTGATATTTAGCCCATGTATACATTTTAATTTTTTCTGTTTCAGGAAAATATAAAATATATGGTAAATGACGTTGATGATCATTATGTACACTATCAACATCATTACAATCATATGCTTCCCATTGTCGCCAATCACCATTAGAAAAATACATTGCACTACGCATATGAGAAGCACTATTTATTAATGAATCAACTAAATAATCGGGTAAATTCGAATTAAAATAAAGGTTATGTAATGTTAATATATCTTTTATAATTATTTTCAATTGACTATCATCATTTTTGTCTATTCCAATTGATTGTCCAACCGTTGTTACATTATTAAATAATAATGAATAATAATTATCTAATGGTAAATCTAACCAATAATGATGAGGAAAATACCAAGCAAATAATATTGATAAAGTCTTTTTTTTACCAGGCTGTAATTTTGTTGAAATAGAAACAGCACCATTAGCAGCAGATCCTTTTAATTCAGTTTGTTCAAACCATCCACCATTTATTGAAAAATTACTTAAGATATTATTAATATCATTATCAATAGTCGCTGTCATTGTTTGATCAGATGATAGAAATGGCCATAATACATATTGACCATTTGCAGGCATTTTTCCTGGACGATCTAATACTAATGGACCAGTTCTATTATATGTCCATTGTCCACGTACACCACTAACATGACCACTTAAATAAACATTATTACCAATATCACTATATAATAAACATGTACTTTGATTATTAACAATATGCCAATTCCATGAAGCACATAAGTTATTTTGATCACAATATGATATACATTGAGTATATGTATTACTTATTATTTGTTGTATTACAGTTTTAGAAAGTCTTGTTTGATCGATTTGTACTGATAATGGTACATTATACATAAAATCAATAGCAATTGGATAATCATTTGGATTTTCAATATTTAATGAATAAATAATTGCTGGTGTCATCGAACGATTTAAATCACCTGGTTTAAATATTGAATAAGCATATAAATCCATATTTGCTATTAATTTATAATCAATTAATTCTAATTTACTGACAGGATATGATCCATGATATTTAATTGTGTCTATACCATCGAAATTATGATTTGAATGTGTACGTATTAATCGAGTATGATTTTCATTTGTTTGTAAATTTCTTAATCGAATTACTAATAATGCATCATCAACGACACCAAATTTTGCTCCAGCAGCTGGTGATTGACTTTCAATTGTCCATTCATGAAATGTTCCATCACCGCGTAATTCTATTGAACCTGTTGTTATACCACCTAATGGTACAGCTGATCTTAGTCCAGTTGGTGGATGATTATATGGACATGTACGATTCATCGTTGCCGATATAATATCTTGATTAGGAACAGATGCTGGTATATATGTTTTTAAATAACAACATGGTTGTCCTTTTTTACAACTATTAAAATCTGATGGTGCTAAGGAAGCATATGACCATGCAGTGCATGACATATATGTACAACATAATGTATTACAATGAGATGGATCAGCTAATGGTGGTATTATTGATAAAAAATCAGCACCAGGTAAATCGATACCAGTTAATAATGGATTTGAATTACATTGTAAAGGTTTAGTTGGATCTTTTTGATATAAATACGGTCGAACAACTTCTTCTACCCATGCAAATTTTTCTCGTGTTACATTTTCTGGTTCTGTATAGAATGTAAATTCATATTGATATTCATAAATCTCAGAACTTGATATTGTACCTTCATTTAAAAATCTAAATGAATCTAATAATTCATAAATTGTTTGACAATAAATAATTGGAATAAAAACACTTGCTAGGACACTTGAATAAATGAATAACATTATATGCTTTTTAATCATTCAATTATAATATAGAATATAATAAATGTCTACATGAAATTTGATTATTCAAATGAATATTAAAAATTTCTAAAAATACATATATATGTATGATATAAATGCGCCGATATATACGTCACGGCTCACTGCTCTTCCTCTCTCTATTGTTCTCTCTGTGTCGTCTCTCTCTTTGTTGCTCTATCATATATAAGGTTGTGTTGAATGTGCAATAGGCACATTCTGGAGATGTAGAGTAGCTAATAAACATCATTACCGAGGGTAGCGGTAAGCTACTCCTCCAGTCTGTCATAACATCTCTCTCTCTCCCTTATTTATCGTTACATGTCGACCCTGGCGAGCGAATACATGCATATTCTGAAACGAAGTTGGAAGATTCCAGAATCAAGAAGAATTCAAAATTATCAAACTTCCAGTGAAGATACAAGTGAATATCAAGGTATGAGAAATAATTTGAATGAGTGACGAATGCATGCATTCAGCGAGTAGAGGTGAATGACATGGCAGTGTATTAAGGCCGTTCGGCACTGTCACAGACCATCAGTGAACGTACTAAAGGGCGGCTCAGCCTAGGAGCCGGCAGTGCGTAGGATTGCCGCACTTTCCCTTGTAACATCTACACGTTTCATGTCATTTCTCCTCGAATCTATGAGTCATTCCGACCATCATTCAATTATTTTCTCTGTCAACAAAAAAAAAAAAGAATCGACGAAAGAACAAATGGATATCGATGAGCATGAAATCAATTGTCTATCGGCCGTAAACAATTGATATTCATTCATCATCAAGATTCACCTCTTGTTGTCGATCACCACCAACAGTTCATCCTACTAAACATCTTGCTGACTAATGATGTGTAACAATCAGATATTAGAAGAAGCACAAAATTAAAACGAAGAAGATATTATCCTCAAAATGCCTGGAGCCAGTGGACATTTTGAAAATGAAAGTAATGCAATTGATGACATTGATTGGAAAGTGTGAAATTTTTTTTTCTTCCTCAACGAAGGATACATAGAAGATAGGATAAATAATGACCTCTTATCTTCGGTTAGGTAGATAATCAAAATGTGTCGCGATATTTTTTTAAAGTTATGTGTTCGTTTTATACTAATCTATAAAGTAAGATATATAAAGAAACCGTTCTAGGTATCGTTTATGCGCTAGACAAGAGTTTCTGTACTGTATGAATTAGAATATTTACCTGTCTACTTATGACTAAAATTGTACTGAAATTGTGTAACTGATTACTTGTTTTTTTTTCTCTCGTTCTGTAAAATTGATATGTGCTGCTGTTCGAAATTATATCCTATGAATTTGGAAATGTGCGAAAAAGCGTGACTGATAATATGTGTTATGAATTCTATGTTTCTTTTCTATACTACTATTTTATTTCTGGGTACTCTGTTAAAATTTTTTCTTGTACGATGATTAAAGTTATGAAGATTAATATTTGTATGCCGTATCCGTGTCGAATTAGATTCTATTTACATTTGAAATGTGATGCCGAATTTGTGAGTTTGAAATGTCGCGACTAGTTCTTCAAAAAGTTTGTTTCTCTTCTCTTGACTGCTATGTTCTTGACTTGATGCTATGATACTGCGAAAACGTGTGTTGATATGAAGTTATGTGTGAAAGTCGAAATTTTTGTTTGTGTATTACTTTGATTTCTACAATTAAGTTCAAGCGGTGAACTTGTTTTAATTTAACCCTTTACCCCCCACGGCAGTTTCAGAAGAGCCACTGATGAAATAACTTTATAAATAGAGTATTAGCCTGTCGAATATGCCAATGATGTGGCCTAATCCGCCGAATGTCCTGTTCCTGGAGTAGGGCAGTTTGATTGATGTAAAAATCATGTGGTGGAAAATGGAAATTGAACGACATCATAAGGCTTAATTTTTTTTCTTTGACCACTTTATTGACTGGACAGAAGCAGCATCTATCTCGTACTGTTGAAGTGATAGGAAAAACGCAAAGAGCGAACCGATAAAAATTAACATCAAAGAATACATGTTTTTTTTCACCTATTGTCAAATTTGAGCCTATTTTACTTTGAGCCATCTTGTAACGTCTGAAGGAATTTAATTCATCATAAATACTATTTCGACTTCTCATGAGTTCAGGTCTATAACGCACATATTAACTTTGTTCTTGATTAGCCTCCATGCGTCTAACAGTGACAACATGGTCAATTGTGTCCCGTAGGATGCATAATTCGTGGAGTTAGCATGAAACTTTCGAAACACATCTAATTCAGCAGTGGACTTCTTCATCGATTAATATCACACAGAAATTCCAAAAGACCTCTATCGATTGCAAGTAGAGAACATTTTGTTTATAAAATTTCGAATTTTTGCATTTTTTTCAAAATTGTAGATTTTGTAAGTCATGTATCTCGAAGGCAAAGCAATGAAACAAAATATTTTTTTTACTAATCGATAGCTTGTGAAGTTTCCTACAAATCATGTCTTGGGAGTTTTTTACTGTCATACTTTCTTTATTTTCTGTGATCGTGTCTACAAATGGGTCATATATGACCCATTGGGGGGTAAAGGGTTAATTTTTGTCATCCAATTAATTTATTTTGATCGTCTCTTTTTTTTCTAAATTGTAAAGACGCTCAGGAGCGCATCTCATCTGAGTGGGAGGGTGTGCCGATATATACGTCACGGCTCACTGCTCTTCCTCTCTCGATTGTTCTCTCTGTGTCGTCTCTCTCTTTGTTTCTCTATCACATATAAGGTTGTGTTGAATGTGCAATAGGCACATTCTGGAGATGTAGAGTAGCTAATAAACATCATTACCGAGGGTAGCGGTAAGCTACTCCTCCAGTCTGTCATAACATCTCTCTCTCCCCTTATTTATCGTTACAATAACTATAGATAGTACTGCTTCATTCAAGTTTTTAACATTAGTGAGGATACCTTTCATGTTCTTGTATAAGTTAACTCGTCTAAATATGAGAATGGATATGTGTACTTTTAAATATTTAATGTATATTAGAACCAAGAAATTACAAAAAATGTGACTCTAATTGCTTCAAACCAATCTTACAGTAATTTCTTACAAATTGACAAGAGCTGATTCTAAAGATTTTTTTGTACTCTTATGTCACTCATTAAATTGCAAAGAAATGTATTACACAAAAAAAAGTTCATGACACTGTCAAATTGATCGATCACTGTCGTATAATATATAACATCTTTTTCATACCTTTATGTCATTAAGAACCAAAAATAGTTCTTTCGTGCGTCTATTTTATTACTCATAGTAGTGTCTTAGAATAGATTTTTTGTAGATTTATATAAGAAGATGAAGAAAGTTGACTTTTTTTTCTGAATGCCATAAATTATCAATTGATCACTATCAATGACTTTCATCTGTTTTTGTATCGAGAGCGAATATGTTTAAAATTTTTGAGATGGTATTATTTATGGTGTCTCTTTCTAAACAGAACGATAAATCTCTACTTCTATAGAGTTAATTATCTAATTTACTGAGAAAAAAAGCCAGTGAAAACGAGCAATTGTTAAAGTTTGAACTATAAATAGAATTTTTAATAAACTAAAAAATCAAATAAAACACAACTCTGGAAACTTTTCATTACTTTATTTATGAGCTTTCAAAGTAACTTTTGTCCATTGAATACATTTCTATTTTAAATGAATTTGAATTATCCAATGGATAAGATTAATGAATCATTAAATATTGAACCTTATCGAGACTATTCTTATGTATATATCGATATCTTCTAGTGTAAAATTATTTTCATTATTAGTCTGATGGCAATAGAAGTTGTGTCAATAGCTCGTATATAAAGAAATGAAAAATTTCATATATATATATGTTTTTCACTTAATTTTTCGAGGCATTGTTTATGTATTACTTATACACTATATCTCGAATTTGCTGGGATCTGATGAGCATTAAAAATATTTTAAGAAAAAAGGTTCTCATATCTTATGATGTTTTTAGTAAAACCATAGCTTCCATCTTAGGTTCATTGGTATCAAAATGTTCGAATGTTTTTGTTTTTAAACATTGGCAATGAAAGATCGGCTTTCTATGTAAAAGATCTGAAGCAAATATAGTTGGAAAATAGATTTTCAAGATAAGCCTATATTGAATCTTGCTGTCTTGTTGAAAAAATGCATTATAACTTCGTTATTTCAAAGATAATTTCCATAGACTCTTTCGTTACTCAATGTAACGTGTAAAGAATCGATGTTTTCCTGATCTCATGATTGTAATAATCTACGTAGGCCCTTTTTTTTCTATAGTATGAAACAATTATTTTTCGAAAACATCTGCTTCAGAAAATCTCTTAACTTTCTTAGATCGTTTGGTGGAAATCAGCTTTTTCCTCATTGAATTGACAATTATGCTCATGTTAATATATCATGGAATAATTCAAACTTATGCACATACCATCTACTATTTCTATATTTTGATACGGTTATTGCAATAGAAGGAACAGGGTTGTGGATGAGTTGACGGACTAACCACAGACGAACAACACAACATATAGAAAGGAGAAGAAGAAAGCAGGCAAAAATAAAGTGATGATATCAGGAGTGACTACTAGCAACGGTGTGCCCGCTAATGTAACCGACACAGTTATCTTCCTGCAAACTGCGGAGAAAATTTGACGAAACAGAACAATAAGATGACAAAGACATGTAATGTAATTGATATCTTGACAAGATAGAAATAAATATAGAACAAAAAACCAGGTAGTATATATATATATATCCATGGGACACCAAAGGAAGACAATAAAGATATGTTTGTTTTTCGTTTCATATAAGATTCTTTGTCAAGGGTCGTTCTTTGTTTAATATTGATAAAGAAAAATAAATTATTAAGAACAAGTTTATCATTGATTATTACGTATTTACTAGTTTTGACTTACATAATTCTTTCCATTAAAATCATTTTTTTTACGTTAAATGTAATTTCTTACTCAAATACTGTTCTTACCTTGATCTATACCTGTCTAAGCATGCATCGAATCCGAACTTACCGAATTCGGTTATTCCTTGTATCGAGAATCTCGAACTAGATCATGCACATATCTATAGCTATAATAATCAATACTGAAGAGTACATATCACAGAAGGGAAAAACGGATCTTGGACTATAGGACCACTTCTATTTTCTCATGATCTCTCTTCAGTCAATCAGAGTATTTTTTCACGAATGTTGCTTAGCCAATCGAATTTCTTGAATGACATTCTATCGAACAACATGAAGAAAACCTGATTGACTGAAGAAATATCATGAGATAATATAATTGATGGTAATACTTGAACGGTGTACTAGTGTCAAACTATTACCATTATATTCTGAATCTATTCTAGGATCATATGGTCCAGGATTAGCTTTTCTCTCTTGATTTTTACTTTTCAGTATTGTTTGCTATTGCTGAAGGGATGTGAATGACCTTATCGAGAATTTTCAGTCTACTCTGAGGTTCAGTGCACGTCTAATACAAACACATACGATTATCGACACATTAGAAAACTTTCGAACCATCTTTTATTCAGTAGATCAGCACAAAACTTTAGCACAGTTTGTCATAATAGGATTTTTTTAAGATAATAAAACAAATCAGTTCATATTGAATGCTAATTGATTCTTTATGGTTACTGAATATTTTCGAATATTAAATGCATCATTAGAGTTAGATGAACAATTTTAGTTCCCATTATATGATCTGAAGAGTATCTTGATTGCTTGAAACAAAGAATCGAATCAAATGTTTATCACTCATATATATGTTCAACAACTGTTAAATTTCGTTCCTTCAAAAACTCTATTTCATATTTTGATGAATTGATAACTTCTCCATGGCGAACACTCATTCTAAATTTCCTTTTTCTTTTCGAAGGATTTTGTATGATTGCAATATTCTTCCCACTCTTCGGATTTAGCCATCGAGTAAATATTATATTTCGTATAAAAATTAGCTTTAAACATTTTCAATTATGAATATTAATCGGAATCAAAATATGATTCATTTCATGGAATATTTGAATAACTATCTTGAGAGCGAGAAGCATTGAAACTGTATGAAATCCATTACCAACTGAAAATTTTGTTTGATTTTCAAAAGTTCCTGTATCATATTTACAGAATGTTGTTAGGCTTACAAAATAATTTAGAACAGTATTCAAGAAGTACACCAGCATTAGAAGTATCCGATTTCAAAATAAAAGAAGAGTGGCTGTTTTTCGAATAGCTCCTCAACGGAAACAGCTATTAACACCTGGTTTTCACCATTAGAAAAAAGCTAACATTCTGCATCTTTCTACAGGATATCCCAAAACCATAGGAACCTCATATACACTCGTACGATAATATTTATTCTATTGTGAGAACCTAATGTTATTGAACCGTTGATTATCTGATTAGATGCGCATGATTGTCTACTCTCTCTTGCTATTGTTGATTCTCTTTGTTTATTCTTCCACATATAGTAATATGGTTAAAATGAAAAAAGTGTTGTTCCAAAATGATAGGACATTATAAGGATAAAAAAAAACATTGTTCATATTCTGATTTTCTTTTTAGCAAATCAAATTGTGACTTTCACTCAGAATGTCATAAATATCAGCTAAACGATTCTTGCTTCATTCACAACAAATCAGTTTGACAGCTTGTAGTTCCACAGATTGATGACATTTTCTCTATAGACAACGCCATGTCATATGATATTCGCATTGTATAGTTCAATATTTCGATTATCATTAGTGTCAGATTTAAGTGATAGGGATGCAGCAGCAGCAGTTCTTGCAAAAGAGAGTAATACACGAACTGAAACTATATCAGCGAGACTTCAAAAAATATTTTCTACTCTGAGGATACACTTCAAGTCAAGGCTATAGATTCGTCGTTGATTAAATCGTACAGTATCTTTGACATTGATGATAGTGTTACGATCATACAGGAGCATCCTTGTTTGAGAGTTTGTTTCTGATTCCACAATCTATGTTGATTAGGAGAAATTAGCCTGAAAAATTGTAGTATCGGACGATTTGTCTTTTGTAATCTCAAAACTACCTTGCTTTCGAAAATAATGGAAAGAAAATTACTGTTGCATAAAGTTGAAATATCTAAAGATATGGTTGCTAAACATAGTGAAATATCACGAAATTCTATTATGCAAACTATTCGTAAATATAATACAAGACATACTTTCGCAACAAAACTTGATGGTAGTCGTCCTTCAAAACTCACTGAAAGATAAAAACGTGCAATTAAACTGGAATAATTACGTAATCATACAATACTATTAAATGAGTTAGTTGGATATGTTCAAGTTCATTTCGATGGAGCTATCGGGCAAAGTACGATTAGCCGTGTATACTCAAGAGTTTTGGCTTAATCAGTTATATTCATCGAAGAACTCAACAGCTAATCGTCAACAGAGACAGAAATGAGTGAACCGATGCTGGCAACATTTCCATTAGACAACAAAAGACTGAGCAAGAATAATTTTTAGTAATGAAAATCGCTTCGAATTATTAAAGAGATGTAACAAAATTTATATATTTCGATATTGCTGTAATAAAGAATGATTTGAACGATCACAACTACGTTCACATAAAGATGATGGTTTTAGGTATTTCCGCATGTTTAACATATTTCGAAGTTAATGATTTACTTTTTTTTTCATGAAGGAAATATTGATCCATCTAAATATATTGCAATATTTCACATGAGTCTGTCATCAGAATTGTCTCGATTTCCAGTACTTGATTGGTCCTACGCTAAATTTCAACATGAGAACGCACGACTACATATGGCTGCAAAAACATAGAAATATTTGAAAAAGAAAAACGTTACTCTTCTACAATAGTTATCAAGTTTTTCAGATTTAAATATAATAGACAATAGATGGTCAATAATTGATAAACAATCAATAGAATATCAAGTACAGATTATAGAATAATTTAAACATACTATATTATTCAATTGTGGATTGAAACTTCATCGACAAAAAAATTAAAAAATCTTTATTCATGTATCCCGAAACGATTGAAACAAGTTATTCAAAATAACTGCTATCCTTGCAGCTCACAAATTTCTACCTTCTTATATTTGTTTTATTTATTAATCAAGAATATAAAAGGGTTTAGAAAGAAAAATGAAGAGAATCATATAAGTTTGGAATAGTACTTTTTTCATTTTTAATCATATTACTATCTATGGAAGAGCAGACAACGAGAATCAATAACAGCAAGAAATAGTAGACAATTGTGTCCGTCTACACAAGTAATCAACAGTTTAATAACATTAGTTTTTCACAACGAAATATTATTGTATGAATATATGCTCAGCTCTCATGACCATCATATCAATATTCAACAAATATATAATTAATCTTTCAATCTAAACTTATTCTACATAACTCTTTAAAAATATTGATGTTTCAATATTGTTCTTTTGATATTTTCTTGCAAACCAAAGTCGTTATTACATTTTTAGGAAATAGGAAAAAAGCTTCTCTATTATATAAACCGATATATTCTCCTTATGGTTAAGAGTAAACCTATGAACGTTTAGAGTAATATTCATCTAGTTGCTAAGAAGCCGACACTAAATTTAAACTGTCTTTGACTAGACAATAAGGAAGAACAAGTGATGTCTTTGAGAAGACCCAAAAAATTTGCATCATCCATTATCAAATATGATTGGCAAAAGAATACAAATATAAAGTCAAAAATTAACAAAAAAATTCTTTCCAGCTCACATCATTATATTATGTCTTTTGTTCGGAATGGAAAAGTATACATTTGATAAAAAAAAAAAATACAATTTATATAAATGTTGCATTAAAACGCGAACCATTAGAAGAAGACAATAATTGTTCTTGTTCTTGTAAAACTCGTGCTAGTTGTTCATCACTACTTGTATCATCAGATGTTGATAGTTCACCAATGTCTTCGTAATAATTCTACCGTTATTTGAAAAAAAAATAGCAAGAAAAATGAATATTAATCAATACATATTATTTATTCATACTTGATCACCAGAAGAATGATTATGATTATTATAAACAGTTCGATCTATTGAATTTGATTGAATATTCATTTCCTCTTGTAATTGTTGTGCTAATGCAACATCATTTTCTTCTCTGTAATTGAAAAAAAACGACAAATTCTTTTTTACATCAAAATAAGAAATAAATACCAACATTTTGTGTTGTTGTTGATAAAAATCTATTTGTCTTGCAACCAAAGTTCGTTTTTCTTCTTCTTCAACGCTGCGAGCAGTTTTTACACCTTGACGCGAATCGCGTCGATGTGTACGATTTCGATCAAAATGTAGAGCAACTATATTCAATGAATAGAAATATTATTATAATAATTATCGATCTTACATTCTTCTTGTTGTAATCGATGAGCTAAACCTGAATCCGAATGTAATAAAAAATTTTGACAAACTATAAAATAATATATAGATGATTATTGAACATTTTAGTCAAATTTGTTGATGTTATGTTTTTTTTTTTACTTTGTTTGACATGACCAGGCGCTGTTTGATCATTAGTTTTTGTCATTTTATCGGATTCTTTGTTTTTTTTCATTATATCGATCGATCGATTCTTCCAATAAAAGTACGTAAGCACACAACTAATACTTATTGATAGCGAATAAAATAGAAGAGATTGAATGCCTTCATTTTGCCCTCATCCCACATACAAAAGGAAGAAAAAGAGTGACGACAAAAGACGTTTGGTAGGTAAACGTATGAGTAAATCACGCGGGATGTATAGAGAAAGAAAGGGATACGACACACAAAACGACAGTGTCGCTATTGCCCATTTGTTCATTCGATGTTATAGTGTACGATTGTAAGTATCGAATAACAATAGTAACATGTTCTGTCTGGCGACGTAACCGGGCTTTTCGTTTTTTTTTCTTCTCTCTCTCACAAGACACATAAACACACATGACAATGCACGTTAAATACAAAAAGAAAGAAATTGACAGAAAAAAAAAGAAGTAGTAATCGCATAACAAAAACGAAATATTATTATTATTACGTCGATGGTGGCAGAACTTGTGTGATTAATGAATTCCTATTTGTCATCATTAAATTTTTATGTAAATGTAAATTCATTGCTAATACAGAACGTACATCATGACAAAATCTTAATGCATCAAGAAATGGAAGTAATGATAGAAGACAAGTATCTGTTGGATCAAAAAACCATGATTTAACTAAAGAAAAACAAGACAAAGATATTGAGAGAATATTATTTTTTTTGTTTAAATATATTTCATTTACTAGGAATGGCATTTAATGGATAAGAACGATAAGCGAAAGGACTATTATCCAAAATAAATATTCGCGATAGATCATTATTAACAACGGATAAATCTTTTGAATATGCATTAAATTCTAATGTACAATGTTGTCGAAAAAATCGACGTAAAAGAATATTTCGATTATTATCTAATTTATCGCTAACTGCAGCACCATAAATTTCTATGGATGCAGTAAATATAACAAGTTCATACCATTTACTAACCTAAAATAATTCAATAAACAAGATGGAAAAAAAAATTCGAATAATTAATTTTCTTACTGTTTCAAGAAAATAATCAACATGAGGTCTTTTATAAACAAAAAATCGTACTGGATGTTTTTCAATTTCAACACGAATTATATAATCTGGTGATCCAATGGGTTTGCCTATGTCAACACGCATTTGACCATCATGATGAGAATGAATTAAAGTTTCATCTAAATCTAATACTAGAATTTTTTTTGGAAGAAAATCTTTCAAAGAAAAATAAAACAATATTTATTAGATATATATATATATGAATAAAAACAAAATCAACATACGTAATCGATGAAGAGATATTGGTTGAAGAGGACAATCATAATATTTAACAGATTGAAATTGAATAAGCTAAATAATCATTTATTATTTTAGTTATCTAAGAAAATTTTCATGTTTTTACTGTTTTTCTCGATCCACGTAAACTAACAAAAATAAATGTCCAAAAACCAAAAAAAAATATTAATATCCGTTTAATAAGTAATAAAAAATAAAGAAATATATTTATATGGAATAAATAAATATAATCAAATATATGAAGAAATAAACGAAACACGCTTATTGTATGTTTTTCATTGCCATTTTTGTTATTATTATTATTATTTGAACAATAATTCTGATTGAATAATGATAATTGTTGAACTCGAATTAATGTAGATGAAGACATTAAAAACTTTTTTTAAATCTAACTAAAACCAATTCCATATCGAATTGAATGATCATGAAAAAATTATGATAACGATCATATCGTATGACTCATACTATATACAGCTGACAGACAAGATAAAATGAACGAACCAGTAAAATAAAAGAACATTGAGCGGAGGTCGCCATAGGACGATCAATGGCAAATCAATTACCAATGAAAAAAGATTAAGTAAAACCACATGAACAAAGCCAATAATAAGTCTTTCTTGTCTAAACAGCTTCAAGGCTTCTGTTTATTTTCATAACGAGTTATATTAATGATAGATTGTTAAAAATGATTAAAATAGGCAAAAACAAACTTCCGATTTTTTTGTAGATTCCATTAACTAATTAAATATACATCGATTATTTCAAGAATTGTTCAAAAAATGACAAGGTCAGTATTCCATACAGGAATTTATATCATAATAATTATCAATAAACATCTAATATAAATAATTCTCTTGCATACTTCATATTAAACAAAAATTTCTTACTCTTTAGATTTAGTTATATTATAATCAAAATATTTTTAATTATTATATTTTAGATCATTATATTACTGGATTAGTTTGAATCATACTCATTCTAATATAATAGAAATATTAATTATATATTTATTTCTTTTATAGTTTTTGTTTTTGTCTTGTATGAATAATTATTTTTACATTATAGTATCAATAACAATACTTCATTTTAGTTTTTCATTCTTATTTTTATATGATATTTTATATCCATTGAATACATTAATAATATAAATGTCTGTACACACTTCACTTTAATATTCTTTCTCTGAAAACCACCTACATTCTTCATTGTTTCTTATCTCTTTCTTTTTTCTTCTCCTCTATTCTACAAACGCAATTGACATACACTAGTATACCATTAACAGAAGAATCCTTCACAGAAATGCAGAAAAAAAAGAGAGTGAAGGAAAAAAAAAAAGAACCGACAGAGCCAAACAAAATACACAAAGTCCAATATTTGGTAAATAATGTTGTATATGTCCATTTTAGATAATGCCTAATACATCGAATCTACCATTAACATCAAATCAAATTGGTGGTAATTTAGCAAATAAAACGATTAAATGTGTTTGTGTAGGCGATGGTTGTGTTGGTAAAACATCAATGCTTATATCATATACAACAAATACATTTCCACAATCTTATGTTCCAACTGTATTTGATAATTATTCTGTTACTGTGATGATTAGTGGTGAACCTTATACACTTGCACTTTTTGATACAGCTGGTCAAAGTGGTATGATTATTTGAATGATAAAATAAAATTTAATTGAATAAATTTTTTTTTTTTTTTTTTTTGTAATTTTCTTTAGGCTTTGAATTAATGCGTACATTTTCTTATACTAATACTGATGTATTTCTTGTTTGCTTCAGTGTTATGTCTCCAACATCATTTAATAATGCTCTTAAAATGTGGATTGATGAAATTCGTCAATCATCATCAGCACGTACAGCACCATTTGTTCTTGTTGGAACTAAAATTGATCTTCGTACAAGTATAGCTGATGTTGAATTATTAGCAAAATCAAAACAAAAACCAATAACACGTGAACAAGGTGAACGTGCAGCTAAAGAATATGGTGCATATGCTTATGTTGAATGTTCAGCATTAACACAAGAAAATCTTAAAGAAACATTTGATTCAGCTATTTTAGCTGCACTTACTCCAATATCATCGAAACGTACAAGAATTTCATGTTGTTGTTCATAAATTCAATTTCTTATTTAAATTAATTAACAGTGATTTGAACAAAATAAAATAAATGTCAATTAAACTTATCTGTATCTTATACTGGTCAGTATTCATTCAATTGTTCGTCAGTTCATTTATGTGTGTGTTTTTTTATATAAATGTATTAAATGCTCAGTTTTTTCTTCTGTATATTCGATATGACTTTTTTTTTTTGATCTTTTGCTGTTCATATTGATGTTGTTTGTTTGGTTTTTTTGATACATTATTATTAAATATATCATCTATTCGATACAAATAATCATCGATCTCTGCAGAAATTATTAACCAATAAAATAGCTAAACAGGCATAGATCACACATATAATTTTGCGCTTCAATGAACACAGAAAAAAAGCTAGTTAATGATAGGGAGAAAAAATATCATGTATGTGGTTATTTTTTGTTATTCAGCCTCATTTTTTTCTTATTGATATCATCAATTACAATATATCATGGGTAATAATCAATCTGGAATAAGAACGTGGAATATGGACGATTTAGCATTTGGTACATCTCCAAATGCTATAACAATTGATGACCTTCTTAATGCAGTACATAATATACGTGCAAAATATTTTGGTGGTGATGCGATTGAAAATGATCCATCAATGCATCAAATGCAAAATGATCTTTTATCAATTGATCAGACACTTACAAGATTTTTTTTTCGAAAAAAAAATAATCAACAATCATCAGAAGATGTACCATCCGAAGAATATTATTATGAAGATCAACAATCGATACTACCTACAGAAACAAATGATTCAATATATAATCAACATTATCTCGAACCAAACCTTCTTGATAATAATATACTACCATCATCAATATCAATAATCGATTTACCAAATGATCAAGTCAATAGTACTAATAAAAATTTTTGGAAATGTGGTAATTGTACTGCAGAAAATAAAATAACTGAAAATGTATGTCGACGATGTAATCTAGCGGAAACACAATTATAATGTGATAGTTCTTCTATAGATTCCTGGTTTTTATTTTTATGTTTTTCAATTATTAAATTCAAGCAATCTTTTTCTTATTGAAAAAAAACACAACAAGAACACTTTAATATTATTGGTTGGTTTTTTTTTTATGTAATTCGTTTCTGTTATACTTGCATCATATACTCTAAATTATTTTGTCGTGTATAACATATACTTTAATTATGTATGCTCGTCACTCTCATATGATATTTTGCAATTTATTTATGTTTTTTTCAATTCACTAAAATATCTTTATAGACACTTTCAATGATATAGGAAAGAATAATCATCCTTGACAAATTCAGAGAGAAAAAAACAACAGCCACGTGTATGACGTAGGTATTACATTCTCTATGATCGATTAATGACATTACACAATGGATGATTTCAAAGACGATTTATTCTTCTATTTATAGTAGTATCATTAGAATAACAATATATTTGATAGAAACGTGTAGATTATAGAATGAATGAATTATGTCATTGATGTACTTGTATAAGACATATTTTGTATAATGTGTAAGATGATATGTATAAATATAGATCAAATACAGTTGTCTATAAGTCAATGTTTCATTGCACAAATTTTGACAAGTCTTGTCAGAGATTGCATCAATATAGATTTATAACATTAATATTATAAGATCGTGCTAGATTGCAAGATTGGGGGTGTACATCCTTCACATCCTCACTTTCATAACACCTGTTAATATTAACTGCTAACTTCTTTTATCCTTGACCAATATACTATAATAATTATATGTTGGATGATATTGAATAATTATTTCGAAAACAAAAAAGATATGGTACGAAACTTAAAAAAGATTCCAAGAATTGAAAGGAAATCAAAATTTTTTTCAGGTATCTTAGAGCTTTACAAAATCTCAAGAAGGTTTCACAAGTTTTTATGATATCTTGAAATAGTTTCAATTTTCGAAACTGTCTAAAGTATCATTGTTCTTTCGGTGTAGAATTTAAAATGATATAAATATATTTTCTAGGAAATGAATTTAATAAAATACTCAATACAAAAGCATATAGTATTGTTTCATAAATGAATACAATACTAGTCCGAAGCAGCCAATATAGAAGCAGGAGGGTTTCGTGATTTTTTTGAAAGGGAAAATATTTTTCTTTTAATAGAATGTAAAAAGAAAATTCCACTTCTACTAGAGAAAAATAAAAATTTTTCACGAATGAGAAGAAAGTGTTACACTTCTGTACCTCCTCAATTGAGTCATCACGAGACGAATATTTATAATAAGGATACACCGGACGACTTTTTCAATGTGGGCGTATTGATCATCAAAAAAAAAAAATTTTTTTTTGTTTCCTTCACATGCACACCTTCGCAAACATTTATGTATAATTTATTCAAATAAAACATCACTTTGCAAACATAATTTTTTTTCATATTCGTACATGTTGCTATTTAAAGTAGATCAGTAAAACAAATTTATTATAAATCTATTCATCAATCGACTGTATGACATAAAAGAAAAAAAGTAGGCACATTCGTTGTGTTTTTGCTTTTCTAATATTAAAATTTTCATTGTTTAATATATAAATATTGTATACATGCACCATCTTTCGACTTATTTTTCCATAGTATATTACAATCCATAATTTTTTAATTACATAATACATACGAAAGAAACAAAGAGAAGAGACGAGAACATTAATAAAATTATATCATTCTTTTTATCACTGTTCTCACATACTTTTGCTTTCAATTGCTAGTGTTTCATCGTCTTACTATCTGTCTGTGAGTGTCTCTATTTATTCTATATTATTTATTATAATTTAAGAATAATAATAATGATAATGTGATAAAAAAAACAACAACAAAAGAATTTTTTATATTGTAATTATTATATATCCAGTGTACATAGTCTATCTTATCATAAATTTAAAAATGCAACAAAATTCATCAAAAATATCTTCAATAAAAGCTATTCATGATTTGGCTCGACGAAATAAAGTAAGTAATTTAATAAGACAAAACAAACAAAAAAAGGCAAATCAAAATTTAATTTTATTAATAATATTAATTAGATAGTTGCTGAATATCAACTTGAAAAAGAATCAGGTCCAGCTCATGCAAAAATTTATACAGTACAACTTCATTTAGGTGAAAAAGAATATGTTGGTATTGATCGTAGTATTAAATCAGCACAACGTGCTGCTGCACAAATAGCTCTTGAAGATCATAAACATTTATTAGCAATGAATCATTCTGATAAAGTAATAAACAGTATGTTGATTATTTTTTTCTTTTTTTTATTAATATTAATTTTTGAAATCTATTTATTTCTTATTTTAAATAAGAACCTCAATCTCCAACTGTTATTTTAAATACTTGGGCTGCTCAACATCATATTCCAACACGATATATTTTATTACATGAACAACTTCAACCATCATCAAATAATTTATCATGGAATCGTCCTCATATTATATTTTATTATCGTCTACATTTAGGACAACATTTTTATTTTGATGGATATGGTTCATCACATCAACAAGCTCGAATAGATTGTGCTTATCATGCTTTAAATTTTATACATCAAAATGAAAAATTTATTCTAGAGTCTCTAGCATCAAAATCAACACAAGTAAAATTTCTTGTTATTTATTTATATTCAAAATAGAAACTAAAAAAACAACAATATTTCTTTAAAATTATCTTTTAGATTCAATCAAAATCTCAAATATCACTTATGTATGAACGTGCTAAACAACTTGGTCTTACTGTTCAAATTGAATATAATGAACCATTAACAATAACATATCATATTGGTGAACAATATTCAACAATTGGCACTGGTCAAACGAAAAATGAAGCTAAACAAATAGCAGCTGAAAAGATGTTAGAAATTTTACCATTACCAACTGAAAATGATAAACAAAAACAAAAACATAATCGTAAACATACTAATCAACATAAAAAATTTATTGAACAAAAAGGTTCAAATAATTATAGTTTATCAGAAAAAATTAATCCAATAACACGTCTATATCAAATAGCACGAGCACGTAATATAAATATTGAATTTACTGAATTAGAAAATTCAACTAATGAAAACATTTTTCATTTTCATGTTAAATTTGGTGAGAATGATTTTGCTGATGGTTATGGTAAAAATAAAAAATTAGCAAAACAATCAGCAGCTGAAAATTTACTTTCAAAATTAAATCCAGATATATTAGGATTAATTAATATTTCAACATCTTCATCATTACCTGTACAACCAATAAAAAGTTTACTTAAACGTGATGAAAATTTAAATAAACAACAACAACAACAACAAGAAAAAAAACATGTTCATTTTATTGACGATGAAATAATTCAACATGAAAAAAATACAAATAATCATCAATCATCAATAACAATTAAACAACAATTAATAAATGCATGTCAAAAATTAAATATTAATATTGAATATGATGATCAAACGATTACAAATAATACTAATCAATATGAAACAGTATTAACTTTATCAAAAGATGATCGTCTTCTTGCACAATTTCGTGCTAATGCTCCATCATTAATACGTGCACAAGAAAATGTATCATTAACTGCTTGGCAAAATTTACAACAATTATTTAATGGTTCTATTCAAATACCAAAAACAACAATCAAGAAACGTTATCGTCAATTACAAACGCCAATTTCTGTACAACAACAATAATGAAAAATTAAGAATTTTTTTTGTTTTTGTTTGTGATAGTTTTCTTTCTTTTATTTTTCCTGTTCTCTTTAAAGTTTGCAAAACGATTATTAATTATAATTGTGTGGTACCGAGATGATCTGATAATCAGATACGATTATTTTATGTTATTTACTTTTCTTTCTTTTATTTATCGTCTCTTCTATCGCTTTCTTTCGTGTAAAATAAAATTCGGCATTTATTTCGTTTATTAAAATATGAAGTCAAGAAAATATGAAAAATATAAAAGAGAACATAATTTTTTATTTTTGTTATTTATTTAGATAAATGACCGATGATGAGATCATATTTTATAAAAGAGAAAAACTAAAATTTAATGAATTATTAAGTAAATTTGATTGGACAGAAGATTGTTTATTGAAAGAAGTATGTCTTCGAAATGAATCTTTGAAGTGAAAAATGATGATAATTTTAGCAAAAAACATTGATACAATGTCCAATTGATCGAGGACATCGATTTCCAATAGGATCAAAACATGTACAACATTGCCAATTAGTAAAAGAAGGATTTTCTAAAGAATATCTAGTAAGTAAAAAATTATCTTTTTTGGAAACAAAAAAATCATTGGATATTTATACATATATAGAAAGAATTAGCTGAATGTGAACAAGAAAAACAATTACTTAATCAATCCGGTATTTTATTTACTCCATCACAGCTCAGTGATATTGTTCATCGACCTATAACAATCACAAATAGTAAAAATAATCGTTCAATTATCGTAATAATCCCTATTGCAACAGTCTTTGCACAATATATTTGGTCAATGTTCGTCCACTTTCTAGGTTACTAGAAAGAATAAAAAAAATCATCAGCTAAATCAAAATTTTTGTGCTTTTTCAGGCTATAAATTCAAATTCTTTTTAATGTCTTAAATTTACTTCATTGAAAGCAAAACTTTGATGAAGGCTAAAGAAAAATGATGTCTGTACAGAATTTTTCATGTAGTCCAGCTTTGCAATTTGATTAAAACTACTTGAAACTAAATTATAAGAAAAGTTTTCTATACACCAATTTGTAGAATGATGATTGGTCTACAAAATATCCAATTTTCTTATCTTTTTTACATATTGCTATAAACAATCAAAATCTATTGCATTCTAAATATCGAAATTCGAAGAAAGCAGTTCTTTTTTTGCAAAATACCTTTTCATGAAAAGTGTAACTGCTCGAAAAACATGTTGACATCTTTTGAGTTCTACCTTACTTTAATATATGATTTTATAGAAAATTAAATTTTCTACAATACTAAAAAGTCAAAACTGCTCCACAACATCATCAAAAGAAATTATGCATGACAAAAAAAAGAAATCGATCTTGACATTTAGAAAGAGCATCTAATTGTATGATTGTAACTGACTTCTTTTGATTTTCGTGAATGATATCTGAGTATCCGAAAAATGAGTAAATATATTAACCAACACCCTTTAATTTACCGTTTTGTAGAAACGTTGTTTGTCTCTACCATCAAAGATTTGTTTTCAATAAACAAACTTTAAGCCAGAAAAGAGAATAATTCTAAATCTATTGTTAGAAAGAATATAAAATTGTGATTCTAGCTGATTACTTTTGATTTTCTTCAATGCATGACTTAATTAGTGGACAAAAATTGACCAGACATGTTGTACAAAGACTTTTGCAACATGGGTTATTTGTCGTTGTTTCTTTTTTTAAAGATCTTCCATTAAGTATTGAACAAGCAACAATTTTATTTTCGCCTGGTGAACGATCTTTAATTGCTCAAGCTGTACATAATGAAGCTTTGCGTTTGGGAATTGTACCATCCACATCACATTCTATTATTGATAATCAACTTGTTCAATCACAAAGTTAGATTTTTTTTTTGTTTTGAGATCAATTTACTGATATTCTTTTGTTTACATTGTAGAGTCAAATATTTCTCAACAATTAAATAAATTAGCTGAATTACGTGATCAAAAACGACGTCCAACTAAATATGTCACTCGACCAACAAAAAAAAATTTTTATGATGTAAATTTTTTCTTTAAATTTCAATAGAAATATAATATAAATCATATTTAGATTGCTCGTGAAATGATCAATACTGAAATGAAATTCATTGAACAAGTAAATCATCAAATAGATTCTGATCAAACTAAGTAAATTTACATTTTTATTATTATTTAAAAACAAAAAAATAAATAAATATTCGTATAATTTATAGACATGACAAAGATCATTCAAAAGAACATAAACATAAACATAAACATCGATCATCATCAAAAAAAACACGTCGATCTAGTCATAGTAAGAGTAGAAAACATCATCGACATTCAAAAAAACGACGAAAAAGTTAAATTAATGTTTTGTTGATAGTAAAAATCAAAGAAAAAAAATTACTTTTAAAGACTTATTCTCATATAAACTTTGAAAAGAACTATAATAAAAATAAATATTATATTAATTAAAAGTTAAAAAAAAAGAAAGACTAAAATATTCAATATTTCATCATAGATATTCTTCTTCTTGATCATCAAATCCGAGATAATAAATTAAATTTTTAATTAAAAATACAGTTTAAAAAATATTCGAAATATTATTGATGATTAAATTAAAATAACATTTAAACTAATTTGATAATCCACTAAATATTGTTTGATATAAAAAAATATTAACTCTTATCTTCATATTTAACATTTATTTTGTGGAACACACGTGTGTTTATCGAAGAAAAATAATGAATATAAGCTGTGTGACTCCTCCTCCCAATTACAGACCTTAGCAATGGAGATTATAAGCGCTGAACGATATTGATAACAAGGTTTAAAAGATTTCAGAACATTCCTTGAAATTTATATGGTTGAAATACATTATTTCAATATTGTAAATAACGCAATTTCTGATTTTGCGCAGATAAATGATTATATGATAAACATCAAAGATGATGTTTTGACTTCCTACAACTGTCATATCGCCAACACAAGAGTATGAACTGATAAAGTTCTAACTTTTGGGAATAAACAATATCAGTATTATTGAATGCATCAAGATAGATAATAGATCATTATGATCTGTTGTAGATATAACAAATGTGTGCAACAGGCTTATGTCAATTAAATAAATGGCAAAACAAAAAAAAAAAAAAAAAAAAAAGAAAAAAAAAAAAAAAAAAAAAAAAAGAAAATCAAATTTCTGTTCGAAATATAGAAATAAAAAAAGATATAGCGTTTGCTGACAATCGATTGCCATTGGAAAAGAACTATCGTCTTTTAGAGATTTTACACTTGGCATATTTTATATTAGTAATTATAATAAAGCTAAAGAAGACATGTGAATTCGAGATTTTAATTCGAAAGAGACTACGTTAACAAGCCTTTTTTTGTTTCATTAATCTTTAGTTTCTCATAATATGTATCAAATATAGAAATTCTATATTATTTCTTTCGATAGATTTTTGTTTTTCTTAGATATTAACTTCAATCTATATTTTTCATTATATAAAAACTTGTAAATTTATGTAAGAATTTTAAAACATGATCAATAAAAAATGTCCTAGATTAATCTATCTGTCACTCGCTTTAATAAATATGTTTATTTGAATCACGCTTATTGTCCAGACATTTATGACAAGTTTGATTCGACATGATAAATCTATATCATGCATTACATATGACATATTGAAATATCGACAACATCTCACAAAAATCAAACTCAATAATATTTGATTGATATTTTTTTAATGATAGAATTTTCCTTATTTTTTTGTTTCTGTAATGAGCTCATGTTCTCAGAAAAATATAAATAATGTCCACGTATTCTTTCTGTTGACGTGGCAAAGAAATTACGCAATATGCCCACGTCAACAGAAATTGCTTTTATTTTTTTCATATATAAAATAAACATTAAGCTAAAGAAAAATATTATTATTCAAATTCAAATATGTGGTCTGTAATAACATGGATACGAGATTTCATTGCTGAATATACTTGGTTTTGGTGGTCATCAAATGATTCAAAATCGAATACAGTACTTCTTGTCGGTCTAGATGATGCTGGTAAAACAACATTAACTGGTCGTTTAACTCAAAATCGTCTTATTCAAGCACCACCAACAAGTCAACCATCAAAACATGAAATTAAAATTGGCTCAACTCTTTTAGCTATAACTGATGTTGGTGGTCATAAACAAGCAAGACGTTTATGGCGAGATTATATGTTTTCGTCAACACGTCTTATTTTTATGATTGATGCAAGTAATCGTCAACGTTTACCTGAAGCACGCAGTGAATTATTAAATATATTAGATGATGATGATTTGAAATTTGTACCTCTATTAATTCTTGCTAATAAAATTGATATTATTGATACAGCATATAGTGAAAATGAATTAAGATATCTTCTTCAAATTGAAAAATATCTTAATGAAGAAAATCCTCGAATTAAATTATGTATGTGTAGTATTAAAAGAAATGAAGGTTTTACTGATGGTTTACGATGGCTTGTTAAACAGCCAATTAAATTGGATAATTAGTTTTTTGTTATTGTTTTTTCCAAGTTTATGTATATATATATATACACTACATAATGAAAATTTTTTATGTACTATGAATATTGTTAACTTTATCAAATATTTCAGAAAAGAAATTAGCTTTTTACTCTTGTTTCTTAACCGTGTGTTTTCAAAAGACAAAGAATAAATGGGAAAAAAAAGATTATTAATTTTAATAGAAATGACATGTAATTTCTTCTTATAATAAATACCAAGATTTTACATAAGATGAGATAACTTCATTCTGTTCCGTGTCATTAACAAGTTCAATTGTTGTTCATTAAGATAAAATTTCTTTTTGACTTACTTTCTTCTATGGGTAATCTAGTATATCCAAGATTAAAAAAACGTAACAACCAGTGCTAATGGCCAATGCTATTAAATCAAGGACATCCTTCCTTGTGTCGTTTGGTTTCAAAGTAACTCACTGTTATCTTCTGACATTTATTGACATGTGTAATTGAATGTCAATCTCTTTTAACTTAGTTATCCAAAACTGCTTTTTTTCTTATCTAACCATCAAAATAAAAGAATTAGAAAGCTAATGTCGATGTCAATATTATTCTATAAATATAAAATTTACTCATTTAGAATGTGAAGAATGTATTTTATTTTTAATTCCTCATTTCAAAAAATGTTCTATTAATCTTATTATTTATTTTATGTTACAGTAGACGATAATACTTTTGAAATACAAGCATTTCTACATGATTGCCTTATTCATTCAATTTATTAAGCATCATAAATCATCAAATCAATCGAATAATAATAATAATAATAATAAACTATCAATATTGATCATTTGTCTTCTTCCTCTTTTTATCAACATGAAAAATCAATAATTAAAATTGTTCCAGTTCAAATTTTATTATTTTTTTCTTCCACCTCTCTCACTCAAGTTGTCGTCAAAATTCTATTTTTTTTTCTTTTTCTCTGTTTTAATCACATCACAAGTTTCAACAAAAGAAAAAAAAAACAGATAAAAAAAAAACCAGGAGAAAATATTTACAAGAGAAATAAAATAATATAGACAGATGTGCTGCGCGCATCGCATCCTACAAGAAAACGTGCAAAGAAAAGCACACATACTAAGCCAAAGAAATGACCTGAGAAATTAACAAACAAACTCACACATAAATAAATGAACAAACCGGATCAAAAAAAAAAGAGAGTCATATTATATATATGTATATATATATATATATATATGTATATGTATATGTATATATACTATTGTTGCATATAAAATTATTTTATTGTATTGGTTGATGATAAATTTGATCAAGACCGAGAATTTAATTGAAAAAATTTAAAATGTTTTGATAATGTTCCTTTTTTATTTGTTGTTAAAAATTGTTTCGGTGATATTGAACAAGATGATGCTCCATCAATTGATGATGATGGTGAAGAATTTTGTTGATTTTGTGGTGATGATGAATATGATATAGTTTGTTGATTTGATAAATGTTGATTTAATGTTGTTAATAATGTATTTGGATTATTAGTATAATCACTTAATGATGATGATAATGATGATGGTTGTTTTAAAGGACATATTCTATTTGAATGATATTCATTTGGTGGTGTTGAACTTTGAGAATAATCATCACGATTATAAACAGTATATATTGTACATTTATCAAACATTGATAATAAACGTTCAACCTCTTTACCAGAACGACGTAGAACATTAACACCTTCAATTGCATATATATATTCATTGATCTTTAAAATAAAAAATAAAAAATATGTATTTAGATGAATTGAAAAAAAAATCTTTTCTTACTCGAATTCCAGATGTGTATGCAGAACCATACGGATCAAGTCTTTCAACATAACATGGTCCTTGACCATGAAGAATTAATCCATAACCACGCCGATCACGTTTAAGCTATTTAATTAAAAAATAAGAATTTTTTTTTTTTTATTTTAATTTTAACTTACTGAATAACTTTTCCAACACCATGGTAATTCTAATCTTTCAAGTTCATCAGCTGTTGGACGATTTTCTACATAATAATAATTATTATTATTATTGATTTAAAATTCTTTGTTTTCTTACCTGGATTAGCTGGTGAATTTAAACTGGCAGATTTTTTTCTTCGAAATCCTTCATTATGTGTTACTGTACATGTTAATTTAGTTGTACAATCCACATCATCTCCATTTGGTATTCTTCTGTTTATTTGTGGTTCATCATTGACTAATGAATTATTACTACTTGTTGGTCCAGATAATGGATGGCGTCGTAAGTTTGTTTGTTGCATTAATGATGATGAATGAAATGTTTCATTAGAAGGTAACATACGAGAATAATACTGATGGCAACAGTTGCTTGATGATAGTAGTGGTGACAGTTTGTTTAATGGATCATTACAATAATAGCTACTTAGTGTTCGATTAAGAGGATTTTTGGTTTGTATATAATATATTGATGCTGAATGATCAGCTAGAGAAAAAAAAAACGACAAAGAATTATTTGATTTTAAGATTTTCTTTTTTTAACTTACGACATGATGCACTAACAAATGAATTTGATGAATTTCGAATTAATGGTGGTGAATTATGTATTGGTGATGATAATAATAAAGTATCATGTTGCATTAATGCAATAAGATCAAGACGTTTATCAATTAATAAACGATGTGAAGTACTTAATATATATTGATGATTACCATCATTATGAAATTTATTTGTAGAACAAGAACATTCTGGTTGTTGATCACATTCATCTAGAAAGAAAAAATAAATAAATAAATAAAATGAAATTCAAATTATTAAAAAATATAAATAAATAAAAATTTACCAAATCGAACAAGACCATACATAATCATATTATCAGCAAGACGTTCAACATTTTGCATATTGGTACCACTACGTAATGCAATCATACGAGCTAAATTATCACCTTTAAGTACTATTCCAGGTTGTTCACTATAAGGATTTGTTAATGGTACTTGTTGTTGTAAATCTACACCACGACATTGACTTTTATCAAGTGTGAATAAACTAAAAGATAATTGGGAATTTTTTTTTTGATTTTATGAAAAACAAACTTCTTTAGAAAATCTACCTTGTATATGTTTCATAAATAGAAGCAAATTGTTGAAATGAACGATTATGATCTGCTGTACCATCATCAAGGCGAAAACGATATAAATATTTAACATTATTAATTGATGATGATCCTGATGATGGATATTCAAATTCATTTAAATCACAAACTAAAATTTAAAAAAAACCATATTGTCATATCATATTTGAAATCAACATCATTCAATTTTACTTCTTCTAATTATATCAATATTCTTTTTTTTTTCTTCTTTCTTTCTATGCAAAAGACAACGACGTATATAGCCCCAACAATTTTCGTTATTTATTACAAATTAGTTCACGTTGACCTAGATTTCCATCAGTTTCTTTTTTATTCTTTTTCTTCTGACAATCTCTTAAGGCAGTCGATCGAACTATCGATCGTAGGGAGGAAAAAAAGCAATTACGCGCTTGCGCTTCCGCATACACATGCAAAATTAATAATGAATGGAAGCAGAAGAAAAAAAAAAAGAAAAAAAAAAGAAACAAAGAAATTTTTCTTCTGGCACTATGCCAAAAACTACTTACCATGATGAATAATTTTTAATTTTTCTAAAACTAGAAATATTTCCACACCATCATAAATGGTTTTACATAATTGTTTTTTTATAAGCCAATCAATTGCTTCATATGAATGAAAACAATTATGAAATAATGAACGTGGACCATTTTTATCATTTAAATAAGCTGAATATGAACGATGTATTAAATTTTCTTCTCGCATTCGTTGTCTAAAAAAAGAAAAAAGGTAAAAAAGGTAGAAAACGAGGTTAATTGCTCCACACATGTTTAGTAATGTAAATAGTGAAACGAGATATCTCTATGTATATATTTGGACAACTCCCATGAGAAATAAAGACATGTCTTACTCATCGATTAACAAGAAATAAAACTAAGCTATTAGGATAAATGTTCATTACTAAAAGACAATAAAAATATATACTAAATAAATTTTTTACCTTAAATGTAGTGCTGCTGTATATAGATCAACTAAATATTTTATATTTGAATTATTATCAATAGATAAATTTCGTTCATCAATATGATGAGTATGAGTAGGATTATGATTATTATTTGTTGTCATTGTATAATCATTAGGAGACATTTTAATTGTTTCGTTATCTTCACTACTTTTTATCGTAGTGTCTTGACATATGAAATTGTTTGCCGTCGTCGTTATTGTTGATTTCAAATGATTATTTAATGCTAAAATATAAAAAAACAACAAAAATAATTTTTTCGTTTTTTTTTTTTTTTTTTGCAATTTTAAATTCTTTTTTCTTTCTTTCTTTCACTTCACTACAAGACAATGTATACACATAAATATACACACGCCAGCGTATACTCACGAACGCACTACTTCTACCCATTCAGTATGTGTATGTGTCTCGCCTTTTGCAATCGGCTCAATATATGTGTATGTATGCGAGCGCGGGCGCGCTTTCGCTGAATAAGAAAGTAGAATAAGCCTCCTCGTTCTTTTTTCTTTGCTTCTTTTTTTTCCATTTTTCCTCTTCATCGTCATAAATTGATGAAGGAAGAAAGAAAAACAGAACGAACCCATCACCCTCTTTTTCTCGCAACTACTTCCTCTCTATGTGCTCTTTTCTTCTTTTCTTTTCATCACCCACGCAAACACAAGTTACATACCATTCGGATGATTCTTCATCTTTACGCAAGAACAATAACTTAATACATAAAGATAAAAAAAAAAACTTTTTTTTTCTTCTACTCTTTATTATACGATATGTATACAGGGTCAAATCAAATGAAAATGATATGATGATAATAATAGATAACTGACAGTTTGTTTCATCGACCCCATCGGTTATCTTTTTTTTTTTTTTTTTATTCTTCTATATGAACAGTTAGATATATCGATGATGATT